ACTTCCGGGTTTTAGGACTCGTCACTGCACCACTCTATGGACGACGAGTGTTACATAGTACACAGGGATTTGAGCCTTTGCGGACCATTACATGCACTAAAACCTATAGAACACACCACAGGAAAGGGAAAATGCCAAAAGCAGGATAGGATCCCTTTAAGAACCCCCGGGCTGAATGCTATAAACGAGTTGTTTCGAGGTCAATACCAACACTGACTGTTTCCTCTTGTGTTCCAGAGTGATCCACGCCACCTTGGTGCTCTCCATGGACTTCTTCCAGCCCTTCTTCGGGTATTACTTCTTCAACGCTCTGCTCTTGGTGCTGCAGGCTCTGCACGTGTTCTGGGCGTACCTCATCCTGCGCATGATCTGGAAGTTTGCCTTCATGGGCAAGGTGAGAGGAGTGCAAATAACTGTCATAACTAACATACTTACATATACAGTATATTAATGTTATTGCCCTTTCTTTACACTAATCATCTAGCAGTTTCTCAAAAATGCATTACTATAACAGTAGACAGGTTGATTATCTTCAGCTTCCTTCAAACTAAAACAAACATTGCCACTACTCAGATATCATGGTAGACAGATAACTCAACGTGACTTTCATTTCTTCATTTATTGTATGTACTGCTTGATATTCTTCCTTTTTATTGGATTGTTTTCTTCTTTTGATTGATAATTGTGTGTTTTGTTTTTTTAAATTAGCAATGTTAGCTTATTTCTCCTTTTATGTTATTCAGGGTTCCTACGGTCATTAAAATCCTGGAAAAGTCATGGAAATTCTAAATGCAAATTCCAGGCCCTGGAAAAGTTATGGAAAAACAATATTTTTCCCAAAGTTTTGGAAAAGTAACTAAAGTTGCATCAAATATAATTTATATGTTATCTAATTGCCGAAATAGTAATACTATAATGATAATAAATACTGTATGGTATAGTAATAAAACCTAAAATGGCGTTTTGCTGGTGAGAGGTTTGAGTTGCGTTAGCCTGTAGAAGCTAGTAAGCCTATTTGATTTGTTTTAGATAGGCACAACATGTTTAATATGCAGACCTTAATTTCATGTTCCATGTTCAAATAAACAATTTTCAGTGGTACCACTGAAAGAATAACTTTTTTGGTCATGGAAAATTAGGTAAAGGTCATGGAGAAATCATTGGTGAAAAAGTGTATGAACTCTGGTTATTGTTTTTCTACTTAGAACTACTAGATAGGTGGTCAGCACATGGCTTCTTGACCTTAATTATCTGGACTCTATGCACATAAACCAATACATTAAAAACAAAAAGCAAAGGTTGAATGATTAGAATCCATTTGGCACTCAACAATTTCAATCTTTTCTTCACAGGTGGAGCGTGATGAGCGGAGCGACGAGGAGAGCGAGGCGGACGACGATGAAGAGGACGAGCAGGAGGAAGAGAGCAGCTGGGACCAAAGGAAAGGAACGATGAACTCAAAACTGGCGTCGCTCGCTGACAACTGCGTCCTGAACAACCTGACCAACCAGAGGAGCATCAGCCGGCTGCCCAAAGCCAGATAGTGGAGGAAAGTATAAATGATTTCCCTTAAAGTCTACTGGAGATATCATCATTTCTGACATATTGTAGATACACTTGGCGTGTGTACGTCCAACATGGTCCACCGATGATTTCAGATCTGCATCCTGCTTGTTTAAAAGGGTTTTAAATAGGACGAAGAAGAACTATGATTGTAAATCTCAGTATGAGGTTAGCAGGAAACACCATCTTTACACACTGTATACTAGAAAGATATATTTGACAAAACGAGGACACCTTTCCTTTACAGAAAATTTAAAAAATGTCGCCAATTTATGCTTTTTCTTATAAGAATCAGAAATCTTTTAGACGTCCTTATAGAGAGCCACAGTGACGCGTCCTAAAACCCGGAAGTAAACTCCTTCCGGTTCCTTCGACAAAAACACTGCAATTTCTCCGTAGGATTTTGGAAAATAGCTCGAAATAAGGTTTGTGGTTGAGACACATTGAAGAGACGAATCACGTTTTGTTCAGCCGGATAATATCCACATGTGACGGGGGAGGCGCGTGGTACAGGTTCAAACCCCACTGCAGTCAGCATGTCGTTGTGTCCCTGAGACACTTCACCCCCAAATTGCTCCTGTGGGGATTGTCCACAGTATTGATTCAAAAAGTAGGGTCGACATGTGGATATTATCCTGCTGAACAAAATGTGATCCGTCTCTTCAATTTGTTTCAACCACAGACCTTATTTCCAGCTATTTTCCAAAATCCTATGGAGAACTTGCATTGGTTTTTGTCGAAGGAAAAACTGCGGTGGTAAAATGCTAACTTACTTCCTGGTTTTAGGACGTGTCACTGTGGCACTCTATACAGGGTTTCTGATTCTGATAAAAAGAAAGCATACATGTTATTGTATTATATTACTTTTTTGTCAATGCAAAAGGATACAAGTTCTTAGACTTATCTTTCTTTATCAAGGAAAAGTTGTTTTTTTCCACACAAAATCAAACTGGTTTAACCTAATATGTTTTCTGAAGAGCGGAATTGAATAATAATTCGCTCCCACAGCTTTGTGTCGATGTAGACGATATGTTTGATTGTATAAAGACTATTAAGAATATTGACTAGTAAATATGTTGATAAGCCATTTTATGTCTATTTTCTATGAACCACTTGCGCAACAGGTAACTCATATGTTGTTACGTAAAGAAGATTAGCTAAACGCTCTTGCAATAGTTGCTTAAGGATCATAAAGATATTCTTCTGTTATAGGATTTTATTTAGTCAGTTAAAGGGGCCCTATTGTGCTTTTTGAACATTAAAGCATGGAGACATGTCCCAGTAGAGACACTACAAACTGATATGAACCTAAAAAAGGTAGAATTAACATTGGCAAGAAAATCTACAATGCACAGTGCAATCAGAGAGATACAGTATGTCCACGTTTTTGAGCAAGTCCACGAATCCAGTCAAGTCTGTCACCACCTTCGCGCAGCTGCTGGCGCCACTTCGTCCGGTCCTCCGCCAGCCTCTCCCAGTTGTCCGTCGCAATGTCCAGGGCCTTCATGTCACGTTGACATCCTTGAAGCGCAGCAGTGCCCCCCCCTTAAGATGATTTCTTAGAAGAGATATGGCGCCCCCTAGTGCACAAAGAACGTATCACTCCCCGTGTCTTAAAATAAATGATGCCTTTAGCAGCATGATTGTTAAACAAAAGTTGTGTTAAGCTTTGCTCTGCTGGACTTTAGTTTGTTGTGCCTTGGCTGCTGTTTTTTACACTTTTTTGTGACAAGTTCTGTGTGTTAGTAGGATTCTCTGAGCTGCTTTTTACACAATAAATAGTTTAAATGTTTTGCTTTAAATGTTAGTGAGGCTGGTAGTGGATCGAAAGTAAGCCATGACATGTATGCAATCAGATGGGCATTAGTGAAAAGTGTCAACAAAGGTCAAATGCTTTATAAAATGTGAAGATGCAATGTTTTTTATAAAAGCTGAAGGCATATTTGGATACGACTGCAATGGGATTTGACTACTTAACTAGAAAATAGAGGTCATTTAAAGTCCACATGTATTTAAACACAGTGAAATATACATATACTAACAGCACAGATAAATAATCATCATTCATTACCTTAAACAGCTGTTAAAGTAATGAATGATCAGGCACAGGTTGTATAACCCACACTAGATTTTATTAAAATTAAAAATAGATATTATATTAAAACCAGGGGAAATGTTATGCTTCCATGACGGCAACACTTGACTGTTCTCTTATGAGTGCACATTGATGCTTTGTTGATTGTATGGCCCGTTGTATTAAAAGACTTCTATTAAGTAAATCAGCACTTCTGTTTTCATTTCATTGCAATATATTCTTTATAAAATTGCTTTTTTAAATGTTATATTTCACCCAAATCATGACCTCTTTTAAAACATTTCCGGCAAGTGTTCTTAAAGACACTTTTAAAATCTCTTACATTTTCGTTGTTTTAGCAAATGTACATATACATGCAATTAGACTATCGGGGGACACCTTACTTCTTCCTTCTCTGTCTGTACCTGTGTACTCTCATGTTCCGAATAACCCATCTGCCCCCAAATGTCTTTTTGGTGTCTATCTACACCTGAGTCCTGGATCCTGAGTCCTGAGTCCTGATCTGAGTCCTGGACTTCGAGTCGTGGCTGAACCTGTCACTGTGGTCCTCTGACTCTCATCACACTACTTCCCTGATGGCTCACACAGGATTGTTGACATCCTCGTGGATTCATCTTCTTATTATACACACATGCATTTCCAAACATTTGGTCTGCCTATGTTGTAAATGTATTATCTTTTTTATTTACACACGGCATCGATTGCACGTCTGTCCGTCCTGGGAGAGGGATCCCTCCTCTGTTGCTCTCCCTGAGGTTTCTCCCATGTTCTCCTTTAAACTGTGGGTTTTCTCTGGAAGTGTTTCCTTGTACGATGTGAGGGTCTAAGGACAGAGGGTGTCGTATTGTCATACTGATATTCTGTACAAACTGTGAAGTCCACTGAGACAAATGTAACATTTGTGATATTGGGCTATATAAATAAACATTGATTGATTGAATTAGATCCCAATATACTATATGCTATTAATAAGCTCTGAAGGCACTTTTAAATTCAGTTTTAAGTTTTATTCAAGGGTTTTTTAAATGTTTTAATGAGCATTTAGGCTGGGACTTATCGTAAGCATGACCATACTTCATTCAGATATCTTATATTTTACTTTTACCAATTAATTTGCCAAGTGCAATTAAGATATTTCATAGAGTTGTCCATAGTGTGCTGCTGTGAAGACTTATTTTTGTAAGGCAACCAGGAAGTGAGCATCGCAAAAGGCTCCCTCAACAAAAAGTTATGGATTTTTCCATTGGATTTTGGAATATTGTAGATAATAAGATCTGTGCCAAACAAAGGTTTATGATACTTTTATATTTTTGTTCAGCAGGATAATCTCCACATATTAAGCACAAAGACAATCTCCGCAAGTGAAAAGGTATCGTAATCTATAAAGTATCTAAATCACATGACTTCTCATCACCACTGCTAAACTGAAGGTGGCTAATGTTTGGCGTGATTTCAGTTTTCCCGTTTAGCCATTTTTTAGCAACTGCTAGTTTTTAAGACTTATAGAAGCTTCAGACATTCACCAGTGGGGTGTTTAGTCTATTTACTGACATATTTTATGTTGTAGAACAAAGAGTGGAAATATTTTCAGCTTCTGTTGACCATAGACCTTATTACAGGTGTCAAACCAAAAGCACGTTGAAAAAAACGTTGACTTCAAGATAAGGGGACCAGCAGAGGTTAAATGCTGACTCATTTCCGGGTTTTAGGACTCATTCCTGCAGCTCTCATTTGCTGTTCAGTCAGACAAGAGACAACTCACGTGTTTCTTAATATGTTTATTCAACACATTCTCGGCCTATGTTGACGTTATGTCAGGGTCCCTGTTTTGGATAGTCTGCCGTGGTTCCATCCCATTTCAAAGTGTTGTTTGACGCTCGGCGTAACCCTCAGCGCACACTCAAACATCCAATCACAGAGCTTGAGGACTAATCCGGGGGTTTGAGCAAAGCGGAGAGAATACTTACTTCCGGGTGTAAAATTCTCTTAAGCAACTACTATGAGCTGCTCCGACCCTCGGTCCTGACGGACTCCAAAAGTCCGACATTATACAATCAAACAAATAAATAAACACAAGGATAATTATGTGTTATTGTTGAGTAAATAACAGTGTGTGGTTTAGAAAAGAATACAAAATTAGAAGGAAAAGACGATGAAACAATACAGATTTCAGTTTTCTGAGCCCCTACTCTCCCCATAACTGACGGCAACAAAAGTCCGACATTATTCAATTAAAATAAAGAAGTAAAAACAATAAGTGTGGCTTGATACTGAGTTAGAAAAAGGTTGATAAACGCTGTGAGAATGGATCTGCGGGAGAGCATTTAGCCGCGATCCCAACTGGTCTCTTAGCAACGTTCAGGGAGCTCTATGCAAGTCAAGGGGACATCCTGCCCGTTGGGGTACCCTGTGCGTAATAGAGTGACGGGGAGGGGCCCTGACCGTCCGTCAATATGTGACGGGTTCGGAGAGAGAACGTGTTGGTACTACACATACTCGTATGGTAGTACTAGTATCTTTGCAGTGATATAAGTGTATAATGAAGGAAGGTATCAGCAGGAGACCCTCCCTGGTGGAGGAGGGGGGGTCAAAGGTTCACACTAATCAGCTGTTAATGATTGATCTGTAATGAACTTCAGCACAAACACTGACTGTAACTTGTGTTTCATATGAGTTCACTTTAGTTCATTTGTTTACAGCGTGGACGCTTTAGTTTCAGAGACAGGGTCAGAGCAATGATTCATACAGGGACCCCCCCCCCCTCATTACTGACATTAACACCTTCTGTATATTACAAGGTTCCTTTGGAGGCTAATGCTAACTGCAGGAGGGTGCCAGGTGTTCTCTCCGCCTGTCAGAGAACACTGGAGAACATGTTGAAACCCTGTTACCCCCCAGGACTGTGTCTTAAAGACAGAACCTCTTTAGTCCTGATGGTTCCACCTGAGGAACATGTGAGACCTCAGAGGGCGTTATCTCGCATCGTCATTTCAACAGAATCAAAGTCCACTAACGCACTGATACCAGAGGTCAAAGGTCACCTGGCTGCTGACTCTGCAGACACACAGTGAGGAGGAAGAGCTGCGGCAGAACCACTGGAGCCAGCATCCAGAGGAACCAGGAACCCAGAACAACCAGGAACTTGTACCCGGTGGAACCAGAGGAACCACTGGAACCAGAGGAACCAGCATCCAGAGGAACCAGGAACCCAGACGAACCACAACCCAGAGGAACTAGAGGAACCATCATCCAGAGGAACCAGGAACCCAGAGGAACCAGAACCCATAGGAACCA